CCCTGGTGCTCAATAATAAAGAGTTCGTGCATCTATAGAGAATATGAAAAGTTCTGACATACAGTTTCCTAGAATTTTAAGAGACTATGAATTGCAATGAATATCTTTTAACATCTTTGTTAGAATACATTTATAAAATGAACAAATAACTCTATGTCCTGGAACCAAGATATCTTGGGTTTGAATCACAATTCTGTCATTGGCTAGTAATACTTGTGCTTTAATTTCTTCATTAGTAAAATTGGGATGCTAATAGTTGGGAGTTCTTCTGAGGACTAAGTGAGGTAACAGACAAAATTCTCGCAACACTTTGTGCAATTAATTAGTACTGAGTACCTGTCACCTATAATTTTAACAAGTCTGTATCAAAACGTATTTCCAACAGCAGTACACAGATTTACACATTCTCTTGCTTACATTTGGCATCATCATTCTTTTTAATATTGACTAACGTTGACTAGCAAAAAAAAAAGTTATTTCATTGTTTTGGTTGCTGAAAACTTTCATAATTTGAATTCCATTAGTATTTTTATGTATTCAACTGCTTTTCTTGAGTTTCAGACCTTATGAGAGAAAAGGAAGTGCTATTATTAGTTGGATTTGGCTGGAGAAATGAACTCATTCTGAAAATATCGGATTAAAATTTTATTTACCTGTATTTTCTTTTCGTACCATGCTCCTTCCTTCCTTGAACCTTTGCTTCATTTCCACCTTCCGTCACGGATTCCCTCCATCCCTCAGCTCTTCCTTCCCTCCTTCCTTTTAAAGACTTTCAGAATCTGTATACGACCTTTTAAGTTCCATATTGTGAGCCAGTTGCCCTAATACCAATTACTGAATAATCCGTCTTTTACCACCGATTAAAAGCCCATCTTCAGCATATACAGTATTCTTGGATCTTTTGCTAGATGGCATATATTACTCATTCCATTTTTTCAGTGTTCTTATCTACACCCTCTTACTTTTATATCAGTAGGTCAAATATTACCTCATTTTGAAGTTTAAAAAATGTTTCTAGATATGGATACATATTTATTCCTCTAGATGAAAATTAGGATTATTTTGAAGCTTTCAACAAACCTGTATTGGGATTAGTTTGGGTGCAACTGACATCAAGTCATGAAATGAACATTCTTCAAATTATATGTTCCATAAACTTTCGTTTTTGCTAGTAGCTCAGCTTATTAATAAGATCTGGAACACACATACTCTGAGTTTACTCCGACTCAAAGTGAACCTACAAGACAGGGTAGAACTGTCCCTGTGGGTTTCTGAGGCTAACTCTACTGGAGAGTAAACGGAAAATGAAATTGCTTTGTCCGTGAATGTCTCTATTGGTGCTAATCTGTTACTTTTGAGTAGCTTCTCACGCATTGCCACCTCAAGCCGTGCAGAGTAAAACTGGATACACTCCACAGGATTTTCAAGGGGGTGGCCTTCAGATCACCAGGCCTTTCAGCTGAGGCATCTATTAATCTTTGGTTAGTAGCTGAGCACGTTAACATTTTGAGCCACTCAGGGACGCCTTGATTAGTACTAGCTGGTGTATTTTTACACTTGCTGTGGGTTATTTTAATCAAATAAAAAGTGGGCAATCAATTCAGCTATGTGGCAACAAAAACAGCTATTTCATGAGGAATACTTCTTGTGTTGCTTTGCATGAGAATAAATTCAAGAAAAGTCAAGGTTTCTAAGTTACCTTATCCCCATTCAAAATGAAAACAGCTTTCAAACTCTGTATATTAATTTCACAGCTTTCAAAAAATGACAGGGCTTTCTCTTCGTAAGTCAGCAACTCCTAGGCTTCCCATACTTGAGAGAACGTCTTGGCTTTGGGATCATCCTTCTTTTTGCTGGGTGTTGCTGTCTGCATTTTACAAGATAGAAGAACCCCAATGAGGACATCGTCATTGACATTTAGTGACTGTGTGGCTAATATCTGGGCACATGTGGGAAGCAGTCACACAGAGGCGTTTTTTTTTAGTACTTCTTTATTGTTGTGGAACATTTTTGAGTTTGCTAAATGCACATAATAATTTCAAATGAAATAGTATTAACTTTATTTTAAGGATAAAAGACATTGAGATTGGAAGAAATCAATACATAAAGGGAATCCAGACCCAGGGTTAGATTTAATTGATCCCATTAGGACATTTTCTGAGAACCTATTGTTCTCCCGAGGTAGGCCTCTCTCCTATTAATAAGGTCTTGTCTCAGCAACCCGGGACAACAAAGCAGCAGCCTGTAGTGGATTCAGATGTGTGGCACTGACAGTCCCCACAGACCTGGGTCCCTATTGGACCAACAACTGAAAAGAGCCTCTTTTGACCTCTGAGGCAGTTGCTTAGAAAGGTCGAAACCAACTCTCACTCTCTGCACCCCCCACCTCCCAACGATTCTGCTTTGTATACAGAGAAAGTGTTTAAATTTGATCTCAGGCCCAAATGAGAAGATGGGTAGGCAACATGAAACCCATGGGCCTTGATTCACTTTGGCCTACTTTATCCTCAACCAAGGCTTTCCCGATTTGTCGGTGAAACGATGTCCAAATCCAATGTAAGATCTGTTGCTTGATGAAGTAGAAAGATGCAAAACATAAGTTAAACAGTAGGAAAGTATAAGCTAAGAGCAAGGTAGAAATAATGCTGAATTAAGGGCAGATTGTAAACCAAGTTGTATTTTGAAGAGCAGAGTGACAGTCAGTCCCACTGTCTAGACGTCAAAAAGAGATGATGTAGCAGGAGTGAGATACACAGTAGTGATGATCTACGTTTCTAGGAAAAGTCTGTTTAACATTTTTTGTTCAAAAAATTGTTTCAATCTAGTGTCTTGCATCCTACCCAGAAAGTATACAATATTAACAACTTAAAGTTTCTCATTGAGTTTCAATCTACAGGCATCTTTTTCATAGCCCTGGTGGCACAGTGGTTACATGTTAAGCTATTAACTGCAAGGTAAGCAGTTCAAAATTACCAGTTGATTTGAGGGAAAAAGATGAGGCTTTCTACACCTATAAAGGGTTACAGTCTTGAAAATTTACACAGGCAGTTCTACCCTGTTCCATAGGGTCACTATGAGTCAGAATTGATTAGTGGTTTTATTTGATTTGGAGTTTGTTTTGCTTCTTCAAGAAGTACTTATAAGAAATAGGTCCTATCAAGGGGAAGAAAGAGTGGGCGTTTTGCACACTTTGGAAACATTAAACTAGTTTTCATAATTTTCAATAGAACTAAACTCAGATATCTGAATTACTCCATCAGATGGCAGTCTAGTATTTCATTATTAATAGTTTCCTAAAGAGAGACCTTATAGATAGATAAGAACCCAGAATATTATCTGAAACACTTTGCTCTCAGGACCCTAAACCCAAAGGAAAAAAACATTGGGAAAAAACAATTAATCCTAGTATATATATAAGAAGCCCACTGCCATTGAATTGCTTCCCACTTCCTGTAGGACAAAAAGTAAATTGTAAGCTTATACAGAAGCAGATGGAATTCAGCCCTCACCTCTCTACCTCTCACCCCAGCCCTGAGAGGCTTATGGATTTGAACTGCCAACCATCCAGTTAGCAGCTGGTGCTCAACCCACTGCACTGTGATCACTGAGTATTATGCTATATAGTTAGAAGAACGCAAGTCTAGGTGCCCAGGGAACCACTGAAACCACTGTGTGTTTGTTTTGGCTCTGAGATTTTAACTAACTCATTCAATCTTTCTTGGCTTTAGGACCATGTGTAAACATGGAGATGGTAATTTTTATGGCATGGAATATCTACAATAATTAGATTAAAAATACTTGATAGCAGAATGGTGAAAAAAAAACATTTGTGGAGGTTCCAATATATACCAGGCACACAGTTACGATGAGGTTCTTAAGAGCTCTGTAGGTCCTTGAACAAATTAAAAATTTAGGTAAATCATTAATAAAATACTTTTGATTAAATGTAATCCATATTTCATTCTTAATGAGGTTTCTTAGTTTTACTGCGTTTTAAAAGGCATATATTATTAAATCTCAAAAGCAGACTAAATCAAAAGCGGGAAATAATAAAAATGCTTCCTATAAACATTTCCTTCCAAATGTGTCTTCTGTTGGTAGATTTATATACTTTATAGCCAAAGCAATCTGCATAAAGTTTTCCATTTTGTTAAAACATTTTTCAAAGGGACTCTATATGAACTGTAATAAATTAAACAAGCATATTAGTTAAAATTTAACAATGAAAAATATCTCATTGGCATATGTTTCTAGTGCTTAGAGACTATTTTCTAGATTGAGATGAAATAATTTCATATGAGATTTTGGAACATCCTACAGATACGAACTTCTCAAACTGAAATTTAATCTCTAATGTCACCTCCAAAGGGGTGGAGGGGGAGATTAAGCAACAAGGACATTGCTTGTCCTAAAAAAAAAAAAGGCAAAATCAAGAAAATAATTCTTTAGATTAAAATTTTAAGCCGATGAAATTAGAAAATACATAGAAACCACATGTGTTGTTTAAAAATAACTGCATATGCATATTTTATATTTACTTTAAAAGAATAATCTTACTAAAATATAAATGTCACCTTTATAAATATTTTAGCAATGTGTCTTACTATTCAACACACACATATTCACACACGAAAAAAAAATTTAGGAAGAATTTATGACAAAAAAAGCATGATAGAGTCAAAGTTTTCCATTTAACCTTATATAGAGGTAACTGAAATACTGAGATATAAATTTAATCATTTTGGCATATAGTTAGGCCAGATCTTATTTTCAGTATGTTCTACCTTTTTTCTTATTTGGAAGATTCAAATGACCTTAATACATAAGAGTCTAGTAAGAATATACATGGCATATATATGTCTTTATCTAGCACAGGTAGATAAAACATTATACACCAGGATCTGAATTTAAGAAAATAATAGAACCCACCAATCCAATTTGTATGAATTAGCTATCTGGGGAGCTATTTTTAGCATATATATACACACACACCAAGGAACTTTCCTATTCAGACCATGGATTTTTAAATGAAGCCAAAGATTACAAGTTTCTCAGTGTTTATATTTAAGTGGTATTTCCCCTTTATATACCTTATATAATAAAACACACCAGGAGAATCTAGTACTTTTCAGATCTCATCCACAAAATAATTATTTAGATGATAAAGAGTTGATAAAATTTTCAAGGTCTGCTAAAGAATTATGAAGCACATCATTCATAGCTTGACTTCTAAGAAATCTTTTAAGGGTCTCCAAAGCAGTTACTGCCTCCGTTTCTGATGGCAGTGTGAGTTCAGTTCCCGGAGCACCACGGTCTTCCTCTTCGTCAGAAGTATAAGATGCACTTTCTTCTGATTTACCTTCTCTGGCCACCTCCTCATTGGATGCTGCTTCACATGTCTTCAAATCATCATCCAGGGCAGCATACTCTTCGATGGAGATACCTTCAGGAAATTCTACTCCTGCCGCGAGCGCGTGGGCAACCATATCAAGACCGGTGTCCGTCTCTGCCTCTGAGGTGTCACCGTCTCCCTTTTGAGATTGGAATCCTGCCTTTTCGTAGCTCTTCAGAATCGTCTCTGGGGTGACGCTCCTCCAACAGAGATGCAAAGTATCGACTGCATCTAGCAGGGAGAATGTGAATTCCTTGCCACCTTCCACAGAGCTTAAAAATTTCTTGACAAGACAATGTCGGTATTTGATCTTAAGGCTTTTGATAACACCTTGGTTCATAGCTATAAATTTGGAAGACAAACATGTCGGAAGGAATGCTAACTCAATGGATTTAAGGTTTGTTACCTCTGGGTGTGCAGGAGAAGAATCGACAAAAACCACCACTCTTCGGTGTTCGGCTTGGAATTTCTCATCAAGCTTCCGCATCCATTGCTCAAACACGTCTGCGGTCATCCAGGCCATTCTGTTGGCTTCATAATGCACAGGCAAGGATTTAATCCCTGTGAAACACTGTGGATTCCTGCGTTTCCCAATGATGAGCAAAGGCAGCTTCTCCGAGCCGTCCACGTTTGCCCCGACCACCAGAGTCACTCTGTCTTTGCACAGTTTTCCAACCGAGCAGGTTTCTCCTTTAAATGCAAATGTATTTGTAGGTAACATTCGATAGAGCAACCCAGTCTCTTTTATATTAAACACATTTTTAGGACGGTAATCACTTAAATAATAAGGAAGTACATTTTGACACCAGACAACCGAAGGGTCTGCGGGTGCGGCTGTAGGGTCTACAGGCTGAGCTCTGAATACTAAGCCATACCTAGATTTAAAGCGATCCAGCCAACCATTGCTGCACTTGAAATCATTATGGCCCAGTTTCTGGGCAAAATCATTAGCTTTGAGACGCAGCATTGGACCATTAACGGGCACATTCAGACATTGCGCAATTCGATACCACCTCATTAATGCCTCTTCCAGATCGGTGTAAAAAGCAGTCCTCAGCCTTTTTCTCTTTGGGTCAAATCTCAGAGATTCAAAAGCTTCTAGAACCTTGTCTTTATTCTTCATGATAGAAGACAAAGAATTTTTCTTTATTCCATATTCAGCTGCAATCTCTGCTTTCTTCTTGCCACTTTCCACAGCGTTGATGATGTCAATCTTTTCCTCGATGGACAGGCTTTTCTTTTTCTTTGCTGTGATGGGCAGAGTGGAGGCCTCCCCAGGACCTTCTGCCATCTCAGCCAGCGCTCGTGCGGACCTTTCTCTTCCTCCTTCCTGGTGTCTGCTTCTTTACCGAAACCCACTTTCCAGTAGGATTCTGATGTTTGCTTTGGATCCCACTTCCCAGGTGAGATGTTGCCAAGTGCCTTATCGTTTTATTCTTTAGGAAATTGATGACTAAGCACACTCTTCCCAAATGATCCGCACAAGAAAAAACAAGGTATGTGGATGGGCTGTTTCAGAAGAGAAATCTCCCTAGCAGGACCTTGCATCGTTTGCTTTAGTTTATTCAGAGTTCCAGAAGTCAGGCGAAAATAGAAATCTCATTAGGTCAAACCTGTCTGGTCCTGCTGATGTATTTTTGGAACTTCAGTCCTTTAAGATGATCCATTTTAACCATGCGCACATTCAACCTCTTATTAATTCTTCATAGAAGGGCTCAAAGAGATAACAAGAAAAAAAATCTTCCGGTAATTTTCATGCAAAATGTTACCCCTTAATTGCCAAGGCTCCTTCGATGGGGAGGAAAAGTGTAGCATTCTCCTGGGACGTCAGGATGGATCTTCTGTCTTTTGAAAATGTTAAAGAAAAAAAAGAGTAGCAATTTTAGCATTAACATATCAATTATCTATCAACAATTACACGTATACCCATTAGTTGTAGTCCTAACAACAGTGATAAAGATGGAAACATGTTTCTGAAAATCAAAGAGCAAAGCTTCCAGGAGAAATGCTTACCTCAGGGAGAGCCTTTCTAAAGAGCTCTCTACCTCTGCTCTGCCAGTGGGGTCCTCACTTGTCTCAGCAACAAATCAGACAAACAATCTGCTTCAAGAGTTTGGGCTTACCAAAATTAAAGCACTAAAAATGATTCTGGATAGCTCCTTGGTGGCTATTTTCTACCCGAAGCCAGACTCTGGGCCCCTCTGGCTTCTCTAAAAGAAAAATATAGTCATTAGTCACAAGGTCCAACTTTTAATAGCACATGAAAGACAGTGTCTCATTTATAGGAGGCTGGGCGAAAATGCTTCTCACACACGCACACCCCAAACTGAATCAAATCAAGTGATGGGAGAACGCCATTTAAAAAAAAATCTAAATCCCATTCTATTGAAATGCTTCAAAACCCATTAATGTTTTTATCAATTTCACACATCAGTCACATGGACAAAGCCCAGAAATAGTTAACACAATGCTTAGAATAAATCACTTATGATGAGAATGCAATGCAGAAAAAGACTGGAGGACATGCCTAGAGGTCAAAAATCAGACCTTGGTCTATTTACAGGTTTTTCTTTCTTTTTAAAATTTTTTCTTTTTTTATTTTAATTCACTCATTCTTTTAAGGGTCATTGGTTTTTTTTGTTGTCATCGTTGTGTTCTCTTTTGTCTCGTTGTCTTGCTATGCCTTGTTTTTTTGGTGCATATTATTATCTCTGCAGATCTATCTAGATAAGATAGGCTGGATGAACAGTCTGGAGGAGAAAACAATGGGACCGATGGTTCAGGGGGACATGGGAGAGGGGGAGGCTGGGGTAAGGTGGTGGTGTTGACCAACCCAGGGACAGGGGAGTAACAAGTGATCCAAAATTAGTGGCAAGGAGGGTGTGAGAGGCCTGGTAGGGATTCAGCAAGATAGTAACCGAGAGAAATTACTGTAACCGATGTAACCGAGAGAATGTAACCAAGAGAAATTACTGAAACCCAAATGAAGGTAGAGCATGATAGTGGGACAAAAGCAAAGTAAAAGGAAATAAAGGAAAGAACTAGGAGACAAAGGGTATTTATAGAGGTCTAAATACAGGCATGT